ATATTTAGTGAGGGAGAGTTTTCAAAGGTCACCTTGTATTTCAAAGCCAGTAGGTGGTATCACTGGTATGTATTAATTACTGATTAATATGTGATCATGCATGAACCTTTACCATTGTTAGTATCAGGTCAATAACATTCACTTGTTTGTTTCAAAATGAAGTTCCGTCTACAGTAGGCACCTGTAAAGGTTAGTGTACATTAAGATGCTAGCATTAATTGTGTGGGCGATTTGACCTTTTTGATGCATGATTTACACTAGAGTTGAACCAAATCCTATTCCAGCATCAACGTAACATCAAGACTAGCGTAAAACCAGCCTTTAATTGTTACAGTAAACACAGTATGGTTGTACACTGTGTAGTATATTATCTACAGATTTAACGATTGTATACTTTTACTGATGACGTAGATACTATTGTATTCCCTCCCTCTCTCTCCATTACACAACATATAACATGTATATGTATGATGCAAATCAAATGGCAATTGAAATGAGATTTAAAAAAAAATGTATGTGTGTGCATGAATTAAGTTTATCAGTTCATTTCTTAGTCGTTGGAGGCAAATGTTGGAGTGAGATCCTTCTTTTACTTTTAAGCGATGCAGCTGCAGTAGATGATGTCTGGTTTTGTTTTGACTTTACTGCTCCTTTCAACGTAACAGGTGACAAATCTCTTGTCTCAAGATGTATATCACTCTTTGAATGCTTCAGCTCCATCATTTGACCAGTGGTTGGCATGATTCCTTTATTATTAGAAGCTGCAGTGCAAGGTTCATTACTGATTGAGGGTAGGCTTTTGGTGGAATGTGTCTCACTCATCTCCCTCTCTCTATCCATTAGCATTTCAATGCTCCAAAAGCTCTTAGATGCAATACGTGATGAATATGAACTTAAATGATGCTGTATTGTAGGTAAGGAACCACGTGGCCTACTACTACTAATGCGATCCCATTCTTGTTTCATTGGTAATGATGCACTTTCTGATAGTCTTCTTGATAATCTCCTATCAAGTGTTGAGCCTGATGATGTACTAGCATCTGGTGCTAATGTAGTACTACCTGTACCTTCTCCAATAGTAAAAGATACAGTGGAAGGAGAAGATTGATTTCTGCTGACTGGCAGAGATGAATGTCGAGTTAACCGAGCTCTTGTAAGAGCAGCCCCCCCATTGAGAGATATTGATAGTGGGACTGGTGAAGATTTAGAATGAGAGCTGTGATTTTTATGTACACTTTTAACTTTCCTGAATGTTGATTGCACTAGCACATCATTTGTGCTAACTTTTTGACCTACAATGCAAAGATTGAACAAAGATAATTAAAATCATATGAGCTGAATTATTATAGCTTACTTTGTTGCATTTTTGTTGAAGTTATTCTCAATATGGAGTTATTCTCAAAAAGAGAGTATAATAGTCTCTCAAGACTGATAAAAACTCCTCAAGCTTTTCTCCTCTAGATCTGCTGTTGATATTCAATTGTTCAATTGATAAAGTTCTGAAATAATACTAAGTTCACATAGCTCAATTGTATTTATGACAACTTAGGATGGTCAGTGACTTATAAAGTTAAGAATGTAATGAATATCACTCTCT